ATTTGGTGTCAAAGGGTTTCAACGTTTTCCCCGCATTTTAACCACCTTTGGTTCGGAACGCATTGCTCAGCTCGACCCGATCAGCTTCAAGGGCAGACATCACCGAAAATAGACCGATGTAGGCACAGCTTGGAGGCAGATGGACCCCTGCAGGATCTTCCTTTTTTGCCTTGGAGCCCTGAATAAGATCTTATTCAGGGGTGACTGGGGTCTCCTCAACAATATGTTATAGTTCAAGATTGACTCTCTCTATATATATATATAATGTGTATAGATAGAAGGGGTGTAAATATAAATATATATATATATATATATGGTCACCCCCCCCCCAGGGCCTACCTTTGCCCTCTTCTAGTTGAAGGTGTCAACTCTACTCTGTGTGCCTCTTTCTTGCAGATGCCTGAAACACTGTAAAATACAGTGTTTTGTTGTTTTTTACCTTCTATATGACAGCAGATGTCTGATTCTGTGAGGCTTGAAAGGCAGCAAAGCGAAAACGGATTCCGTTTTCAGATTCGAGCCTGGCTTTGATTGAACCACTGGTTTTTACAGTGGTTTTGAGTACACCAGGGAAAAACATTGAAAAAATGATGTTTTTGGCAGCTTTGAGCTCTGCAACCTGCACAGACCCAAAAGCACAAAATCTCCTGAAAATGAAAGCTCTGAGACCTGCACATGCCAAACACATCTCCAGACCAAGTTTGGGAGTCTGGGGATATGTGCCCTTTATTTGTTTAGCCACATTTAAGCTAAATCATATTTGGGAATGAGTTACTATTAAAATTTGTTTGCAAAGGCCAAGTGATTTCTTTCCAGAATAAGCTATATTCCAATTCAAGTTGTATTTGGGGATGGATTCTTAATCAAATTATTATGTTCAAAAGCTAATTGAACTCTGTCTGCATTAAAGTATATTTGGATTCTACTGCAATGATATTTTCCTTATTTGGAAAGGTATTCCTGTTCAAATTCTGATCTAATATAGACATTATGGTGAATTATGAATGGTGGTGAACTATGTGCTTACTAAATTCTATTCAATATGCAAATTCAATTCGGATCAAAAATCGTATTTGGAAAGGAATGTGTACTTGGATATGTTGGACTCCAGGCTCCAAAATATGAGGCTTGGAGAATCCAACATTAGACATCTCGAGGATTCTGATCTCCAGATTCTAGGTTTCAGGTGCTTCACCATGGACATTTCAAGGGATTGCAGGTCCAACAAAAAACTGTAAAACAAAGTGTTTCGAAGAAATTGCCCAGATTGTGTTCCCTTGGGCCGAAGATTGTTCGTTTCCCAAAAAACATTTTGCCCCCTTCAACATTCCAATTCAATTCGTGTTGGAGTACTCCAGGCTCCAAAATATGAGGCTTGGAGAATCCAACATTAGACATCTCGAGGATTCTGATCTCCAGATTCTAGGTTTCAGGTGCTTCACCATGGACATTTCATTTGATTGCAGGTCCAACAAAAAACTGTAAAACAAAGTGTTTCGAAGAAATTGCCCAGATTGTGTTCCCTTGGGCCGAAGATTGTTCGTTTCCCAAAAAACATTTTGCCCCCTTCAACATTCCAATTCAATTCGTGTTGGAGTACTCCAGGCTCCAAATTATGAGGCTTGGAGAATCCAACATAAGACATCTCAAGGATTCTGATCTCCAGATTCTAGGTTTCAGGTGTTTCAAATTGGACATTTGAAGGGATTAGAGATCCAACAAAATGCTGTAAAACAGAGTGTTTTGCAGCAGTTGCTCAGACTGTGTTCCCTTGGACCGAATGGACAGCCTTTGATATAACAGTGCAGCAGTGATGACACACACACACAATCATCAACCTTTTAGGACCACATGCCCAAACCACATCAAACAAGGCCTCAAATGAGTGTCCTTTTTTCCCAAACAACAGTCTCCACTTGCTGCGCAATAAGCCTACAGAAGGTTTATAAACTTTCAGGAAAGTTTATAAACCTTATTGAGTGTTTGACGAGTTTCCCGCGTCAAGGTTCATGGTATCGTTGAAGGATGGGGGGGGGGGGGGTTGGTTGGAAGTCTTGAAAAACGTCTTAGCAGTGGGGGGAGGGGGGGGGGGGGGGGGTGGCTGGAAGCTGGTTTCTTAGCAGTGAGGGGGGGGGGGGGGGGTGTGGTTGGAAGTCTTAGCAGTGAGGTGACTCAGCCAACTTTGTAAAGACTCTCAGTACCCCCCCCCCCCGTAAAGAGTTCCCCCCCCTGCCCTTGTTGCAAGGAAACCGTCAAACCCTTGACATGGTTTATAAACTGTCTTGAAAGTTTATAAACTCTTTGCTGTTGTTACTCAACATGACTTGTCACCCACAAAAAAATATGCAGCAACAGCACACTTCTTGCATATATATGCTCACACCCCCTGTCTTTAAAAATAAGAGGGTTTTGTACATTTTGAAGTGGAAAGGTAGGCCCTGGGGGGGGGGGTGAGCATATGTACCAGTCCCTGACGTACCTACCCCCCCCCCCCCCCAATGGTATGGTCCCCCCACTCCCCCGCATCATCCGCATCTTGGGGATGATGCTGGCAATGCTGGGGATGCTGTCCAGTACTGAGCCCTGCAGCTTCGGTCCCAGACTTCCCCTTTCACCCCGTGAGCCAACACCCCCGCACCTCTCGCAACATCCTACCCTAAACCAAACCACCCTGCAACCCCTCCTTAACCCCAACCCTAAGCCTAAATCAACCCAAACCCCAAACCCACCCGAAACCCACCGCAAACCAACCCTGAACCAACCCTGAACCAACCCTAAACCAACCCACCAAGCCTAAACCAACTCCGAACCACACCCCAACCACCCAACCACCCCACCACCCCACTACCCCACCACCCACCCCACCCCCACAGGGGGGGGGGGTTGGGGGGGGGAGGGGGGGGGGGTCCACGGCCTGGAACATATAGATATATATATATATATCTATGTATATATATATATGTGGCAATATCATTATTGGTGTACCGCAGAGTTTTGGTCAAGATGAGCCCGTGGACCTTTTGCTGGTGACAGCATCCTGAATATAGAGATTCGACCTCTTGAATCACACGTCGGACTAGTGCTGAACCATGAACAGGGCAAAGGCCCGGGCGGATATACATGCACAGAAAATACATGCATTTGCTCGGCGGAAAACCTCCAAAGGGCGCAAGCGGGGGGGAAGTTACTTTGGGTTTCCTTTTAAACAACACCAAGATAAATAATTACCACGGCAAGTTGTTTGGTATGAGACCCGCCTGCCCTCCGGCTGGGCGTTTCGGCTTTAGCGCTGTGGGCCTGGCGGGGTGTGTGTGTGTGGGTTTGGGGGGCAAGGGGGCCGGCTATATGGGAGCCGGTGGTTGCCCTTAGGCGCAACAAGAACATCAGAGATGGCAGTTCTCATTCGGCCGGACGACTTTTGGCTTTTGGAAAGCCCCTCCAAGTTGCATGGGGAGCTTTCAGAAAATCACGCGAAAAGCGTGTATGGTAATGATGGTTAGAGGATCCCAGACTAAAGTTCATACCCCGATGAAGAAGAGCACCCAAAGCAAAGGTCAGAAGTGTGCATCCAACATGACTCAAGTTTGTCGCCTTGGCGTTGAAAAGGTGAAGGCGGCAAAGGGAGTGAACGACGTGCGAACGAGCCAGCAGTTTCTTTGTGGGGGCCCGGGACGTCCCGAATGGTCCCAAATGTTCACTTCGGCGCTGGAGAAACATCACCAAGTAGAGGATTTTCCTTGAAGTGAACGAACCAAACAGCGACACCTGACTCTGGTCCAATTTTGGGATGAATCTGAAGCTCACATGATGCGCCTTGAGCAAACTCTTCGTGCAGAATGGCCGTAGATCCATTGGGCAGCTACAGCTCCGACAGTTCTGCGGCCCTGTCGACTGGATCCGCGAGACTTGGTCGCAACTCAGACGCCCGGAAAGTTGCATCCTTTGGATCAAGCGGGTGCGTTAGTTTCCCCATGGAAATCCAGTCAGGGCATAAAATGCAGTACAACATATTATATACATATATATATATATATACATACATGTATATGCATGTATGTATAAATATATACGTAATGTGCATAGCATGATAGAACATAGCATGACATGTTGAAATATAATAGAGTGTCATATCACATGACACCATATAAGTATATCATGTTGATATCATATAGCATCACATGATATCATATAATATCATATGATGTATGATATCGTATCAGTACAATATGGCATCTGAAAAGTTCACGGAGTAACAAGTGCGTATTGTGTGCGTATTGGTAAGCAGTGTAAGCAGGATAACTCTTGATAGGTTCAGATGTGTCCAACTCGGAGTGGTGAAGAAAAGGTGAAATTCCGGGCAAACCACATGGGTCGGAGCAATGTTTTGGGCTGCCAACCGAAAAAAGAAAGAAAGCGAAACAGCTATGTTTGTCGAGGTTTGGTGAGATTTGCGTTGTCTTGGCGCGCAAGGGCAAACAGAAGGTGCCAACGCCCTCCATCTGGGTGGATACTGTATCAAACTAGGGACGCCCAAAATGATGTGCTTTTGTTTTTCCTTTACAACCAAACCTAAAAGGACACCAACTCAGAAACGAACACAACTTGACCCCTGTCCCCACAGAATACAAGAATAAACAAACAAAGGGAGCCCTCACACAACACCCATATCGAGTTTGGCTTGGCAAGGAAGAAGTGCGCATGGCTGCTGCAGTCGGAGATCGTTCGCAACTGGAAGCAGCTGCTGGGGGTGTGGGTCACTTTCTTTATCACTGCGGGCATGACGCGCCGTGGCCGGGTTAGTCCGACCTTTGGGCCTGTTGTGTTTTTTTGGTTGACTTCCCTTTCAAGAGTTCGACCTTTGGGCCGTTTGCTGTTGCTTTTTGTTGATTTCCCTTTCAAGCAGAAAGTTAGAGCAATTCAGCTTCTTTTTGCGGGTCCTGTTGCGTGCTTTGTTGATTTCTCGAGGCTCTTGCTAAACTGTTTGCCGCTTTTCGTGGGTGTTTCAAGAGAAAGTAGACCGGCCATTTTGGGGGATGAGGTCCCTTTCGGGTTCCGTCAATTTGCCTCATCACCACCAGCAAAATCAACTTGTTTCTAGGGGGTCCCTGTGTTTCCCTCCTTCATAGCAACAAGTTCATTTTCCAGGTCAAGTCTGGCTAAACCAGCAGAAAGAGATTCCTTTTTGCATGGGGTCTACTAGTCGTGCTTCGCTCTGGCCTTCGTTGGCCCTAGGTACCACGCGCCTCCCGTGATGCTGCCAGCGATCATGGCAGAGTTTGGCACGGATCAGCAGCTCGGAGCTCCATTTGCAGCTCATAGAGGGGACCCCCCTCCCTCCGAATTGGCGGGTTTCTCGGGGAACCCTCAAAAGACATGCCCAGATGGGCGGTGCATTTGGGATGCCCCTTGGCGGGTTTCCTTAAAAACACCCTCAAAAGACATGCCCAGATGGGCTTGGGTCGTATTTTTTTTGAGGGCGGCCTTTTGTTTTTCGTTGCTTCGAGTTGTTCCGGAAAGCCCGCGGGCAGCCAATGCAGTGACTGCATTCGGAATGAAAGCGTCTGATCCACGCCCTTCGCCCAGCGCTTTGCCGTTCTGGTGCTATGCCCTTTGTTCAACTCGTTTTGCATGTGGCTGTGGGTCAAAACTAGGTATCCAAACTGGAACCCTGGTAAATGGAGACATGGATTAGAACTTGCGGTCCATATCCTGGTGGTTTAATTTTGACCCATGCCCATGTGTTCCCTTTAAAATCCAGGCAACAAACGATTCGCCCCCGGTTTTTTTTCGCATCGTGGCCACCGGGGTGCCGGCGCTTCGCGCAAAGCGCTGCTTGAGGTATGGCGTGTCGTGGCTGCCGGCGGTGTTCCAGCTCTGCAAAGGCGTATTGAGCATTCCCGGGGGATACGCCCTGCACCACTACGGGTGCCACTTCTGTTTCAAGGCCGCGAGACGTGGAGGGCTGGTGGAGTTTATCGTGGTCCAAAAAGGAGATGCAAAACATGTTGGATCATAGGTGTGTTTTTTGGGTTAGTTTGGTTGAAAATAGATGGCACTGGCTTCCCTTTGGTTCTAATCATTTACCAGTGCCATGTATTTGTCCAAAAGAACGCTTATGTGTTGGATGCCTCTTTCAAGCCTCGTTGGACCCTTGCGTTCTTGAATGGGAAGAAGAAAAGGCCTTAAATTGATTGCTGGTTTAAAACAGGTTGCCTTTTGTATGGCCATTGTTGGTTGTCAAAAAGGGGCCCCGGTTTGTGTTGCGCCCTTGTGTCCTTCGTGCCTTTTTGTGCCCCATCCGTGGACAGAGTTTTCCGTCAGGGTCCAGATCAATTGCCATTGGTTGGTCCGACAAGGGGCGGGCCCCGCCGCTGGTCCTTGTCACCCTATGAAAGGCAGCTTCACTAGAGCCACGTCCTCAAAACTCGGGTAGTTGAAGGTAGTTGAAGGTTAGAAAGGGACAGTCCCTACCAGAAATGGGTTCCCCCTGTCTGGGTACCTCCATTTGGTACCAGGTTTTGGTTTTTGACTCACTTGCTCAAAGCGAGTCGACCTGTCGATCTGTTGCTTCCTCTGCTTCATGTTTGGTCAAGGTCAAAGGTGATCCTTTTTGTCCGGCTCAGGAAGGGGCAACTGGCAGGGGCTACAATTTTGGAGCAGTTCTCAGTGGCCCAAGTTTTGATTTGCGAGATCTGTAGACCAACATGGAAGCCGTGTGTGGAGGGGTCTAATCTGAGGACAAACCGATGTGTTTGTGTTGGTCAATCATTCTGAGATTCAACCCATTGAAGCAGCTATCAGGAGGTTTATAACTATGTGTCAGCCATTCGCTTAATAAGTCTTTGTGTCGGCTTCCCTGACAAGCTGCAGCTGAAACCATCTGCTGTTCCACAAATCCAGCCAACAGCTTTCACGGGCGGCTAGAGCTTCGCCTTTGTTGTTGCGCCTCGCATGTGATGTTGTTCAAGTATTAACGACCTCATGGAGCACAACCTTTGCCCCTTATGAAGGCTCGTATTTATTCTATTTCATCGGCATCCCTTTGATTTCAGGCTGGGGTCCTGGGGTCGGTTCAAATCGATGGTATTTCTCGAGGGTTACTGTGCTTCCCCATCCGGTGGCCAAGCAGACAAACCCAAGTCAAGCTACTTGTCCGGGCTTGGACCATTGGTGTCCTTTTAGGTCAGTTTGGCTGAAGTCAACAAACCATTTGCCATGCTTGGTTTCAGCCAACCATGTGGGTGTGTCTTTCTTTTGAGGGCAACCTTTTTCAGTTGGTCGGAAAGGGAATCCAAAGGACAACCAACCAGATTGGGGGTTCCTTTGGGGTCGCTTAGGTTCCGAGACACACTTTCTGTCAGTCAGACAAAAAAAACCGCGCCGTCCCCAGGCGGGTTAGGAGACAAACCCATGTCGAAAACAGCTCGCCGTCAGGCCGGCTCCGTGCTGATCCTGGCAGCGGCGGTGTTGTACCCGCTGGCGCCCAGTCTCTGGCTGCTGGCGGCCCGCCTGCGAGCGAGCGTTTTTTGGACGGGGTTTCATTTTGCCAGAAGGGTGAGTCGCCCAGACTCGCGACTAGACCTTGAGTGCCCTTGGTTCCCTTTTTGTTTGAAGGGACGGGGGTCCCTTTCAAAAAAAAAGGAACTGGAAAGAAGACCCCTGTCCAAAACCTGAGGTTTCCAGAAGGCTCACTCACCCAGGGCTGGCCTTGGTTCCGTTCCGGTTTTTGGGCCAGGGGGTCCGGTTATTCCGAAGCCCAGGTGGTATCCCCAAACAGCCCTGCGACCCCTAGAAGTGTGGAGGAACCCTATGCTGGAGCTGGTCCAAACAGAGACCCAAAAGCTTTCAGCAGGGGAAAAATCAACCAGAAAAGACAAAAAAGAGTTGTCCAAACGGGCTGAGAATGGCAAAGCGACTCTGTGTTGTTTTGCGGGGACAGTTTCCCGGAAGGATTGACCAGTACAAATGAAGCGTCCTTTTTTCTTGTTGTCGGGGAAGCTTCTCTTGCAAGCCAACCAACAATAGCCTTTCGCAACAAGAATCAGTTGTCCTAATCGGTTTGAAGAGATAGGTTGCCCCTGGAAGTCAGCCTTCAGATCGCATGCGTGTCAACCTTGGATTTTGCGGTCGATTCAGGAAATGAATTCCAGCGCATTCCATTCCCACCAATCGCACCAGCAAGATTAGTTGTTCCCATGGAAGTATGTCTCTCTCAAAGCTCATCAAAAAGCAAGCGTTCTGTTTCTTTCTGCAGTGTCTTCCCTGAAAACCAGGCAACCAAACACCAGTGCACTCGTTTTGAGGAGCGTTTTCCTTGAGCAACAATCATCAAACTCACTGTGTTCTTCTTTGTTGTATTGTTTTCCTGACACTCAACCAACACGGGGAGGGCTTTCCTTCCTTGCAGCATGAACCAAGAGCGACATGCGACACCTGGCATTAAATTCATGTGATCTCTTTCTTTGGCGGATTTTCCTTTGAACATCAACCGCCCAAGGCCCCTTCAGGCGGGAGAATCCTTTCGGCGTTCCGGAAAATGCCCGTTTTTCCAGGAGTGCTGTCCGTTTAAGCAACCAACCAAGAGAGAACTTGTTTTATGTTGGGAAGGATTTGGAAATCAAGCGACGCCACTCATGCTGCCACTGTTCTGAAGGTTCCCTGTCATTTCAGCCGCTCAAATCAAATTGTTTTTGACGTAGCCTTTACAAATCAGCCGCCAACACCTGTTTTCTTCTGGCTGAGGGTTCCCTTCACTTGCCAGCCACAAATCACGCGCCTTTCTTCCTTTAGGGTTCTCTCAACAAAAAGTCCGCCCCCCCCCCTGTGTTTGGTTCTCAGACCAATTGATCTCCCGCAACATTTGGCTCAAGGCCCCTTTTGTATATCATTGCATCATTCATGATCGCGTGAAGCAAAAGAACCTTAGCAGGCCGCTTACAGGATTATCCACAAGACAATCCACCAGGGACAATCCATCCTCCAATCATCCACAGTGGCATATTGGATTCTCTCCGGAATAGATCCAGGGACCAACACAACGACCTCTACTACCACAGGGTACCAGTTCCCTTCGGGGATAGGCACCTGGGGCAGTGGGCCTCAATTTGTGGTAGCGGAGCGGGTTTTCCGCAGAGATCCAAGGGAAGATGTCATCCGATGGAGAAGGCTTCATGGAAGCCTATTCAAGTATGGCCAAAAATCCAGGCTATACGGAGGAAACACTAAATTTATCGATGACCGCCAAGCAGCCGCCATCGTACGACGGAAAAGTCAGCTGGCTCAGGTATGAAGAACTCGTGGACGACTGGGTGACCATCACAACGGTGGAAGCACCCAAGAGAGGACCTCTGCTCAAAAGCAGATTGACGGGAGATGCATATATGTACAAGGCAGTCCTCCAAAACGACCTTTTGCAAGATCCTGATGAAGGAGTCAACTATTTCAAGAACACGCTGAAGAAGTACTTTTTGAAAGGTGCGACCAACGTGTATCTGTACAGGCTCCTCAGTTTCTTCAACCATAGAAGGCAGAACCAAGTGTTCCTCATTTTTACCTCAAAATTCGAAATCCTTCTTATGAGATTGAAGGCAGCATGGATGGACTTGATGCCCGTTTTCACGGCACAGTCCCCATCATTTCGACAGTCCGTACAGGACGCAAATGCAAGAACAATTGCTCGACATCAGCAAGCAGCCGGTGTTCGAGCACCGCCTCCAGCCCTGCTCAATGAGGACGATCCAACAGTCCTCAGACAGTATATCCAAGAAATGCAGGACAGACAGCGGGACGCATTTCCCTTCGGGGATAATCTCATTGCACAATTCTTCATCATACAAAGTGAGCTGTCAGATCAGCAAAGAGAAAGACTCACAAGTGCAATGTCACTGAGAAACATCTCACTAGAAAACTACTCCTATGAGATGCTGAAGACGCACTACCATGAACTCTTCATCACGATGAGGACATCGATCCAAGATCAATCCATCCGACCTCAAGGAGGCAACCGAAGCAACACATTCTTCATCATCGAACAAGGTGAATACGAAGGAGAAGAAGGCTTCTGGGTTGAGGATGAAGAAGGACTTGAAGGATTCATGTCAAACAACGATGAAGAGACATTCTGGGTCCTCGAGGAGAACGATGCGTTCATAGCAAGAAAAGTGTCGGGGCGGAACTTCAAGTTCAAGAAGAGAAAAGGAAAAGGAAAATCAGGAAACAAAAAGGGCAGTCACCAACGAAGTGGCTTTAAACCCTTCAGAAAAAGCAATATGGCCAACGAAAACTATCATCCCTACGACCAGGCATATTGGGGAAAGGGCAAAGGAAAGAAGGGAAAGAAAGGAAAATCACAATTCCAATATCCCTATGATGGAAACAAAGGTTATCCATCCTATGAGAGTGGCAAAGGAAAGAGCGGACAGGAGAAAGGAAAATCCAAGACGTTCGCAGCCACCGCAGAGAAGACGGAGGAGCAGCCCGCCATCCAGCAGACTGCACCATCCATAGAGCCTACCTATGCCGGTTGGGCAGACCAAGACTGGGATCAATCATGGACATGGAACGAACATGGCTGGTACTCATCCCATGAGACATCCAGCACAGGACAAGCGTTCATGGCATTCCATGATGCATATGAGCATCCTGGGAAAAAGGCCATCCACGAGAAGCTGATCCAATCAGATACAGTTTCAGAACACAATCTGTCCGTCACAACAAATCACAGCCTTCTGGCAACAAAGCTGATGGCGCCTTTCATCAACCCTCAGCACAACCCGACCTATGCGATTCTGGACAATGGATGTACCAGATCTATGGGCAGCTGGCATGCAATCCAGCGTTTTACTCAGGCCATCGAACCAATGAAGGACATCATCTCCTATGAGTACATTCCGGCCGAGACCAAGTTCACTTTTGCAAACGGAGAGACCGCCAGGGTAAATTGGACCCTGCATCTTCGATATCACACAACTCCTCCATGCAGTACCAACATCGACGTCCTTGAACAAGGAACTGTACCAATCCTTCTCAGCATCAGCCAGATGCGGAACCTCTACATGACCATCGAGCACACACCTCAATGTGACAAGATCACATGCAAGGCCTTTGGCATGAACCGTCAAGCAGTTCCAGTATCCGGTACAGGACATGCACTCGTCGATCTCGCTGGAGTTGCAAGAGTGAAGGCGCATGGAGAAATTGCTCACAAGGGCCTCATCAACTATGTCTATGACGATGATAACAGCATCAAGTTTCCCTCCGGGGATCTCACCAAGAGCGAAACTGTTTGTGCAGCAAAATCATCCGAGACAAAGGAGGACCTAGCAACTCCTAAGATCATTGGGTCTCAAAAGCAGGACCATTGGATCCTTGACAAGAAGAACAAGCAGCTCATCCATGTGCACATCACGCCCCGAAAGGCGCTGTTCACACCAAATGGAGCCAAGGAATGTGCAATCAATCCTGATCACATTAGCCGAGAACGTACTACGGAAATCATTGATGCATCCGCAGGTGGAGATCCAGACATTCTAGAAGACAATTGGAGACTTACATCCCAGGCAAATAAACCGATGATTAACCTGTGGACAGGTAAGACCATTTTCACCTTCGCGGACAATTCGCTTAAGGACGAAGAAGCAGGTTCAGGATCGGCAGCAGACAGGATCATCGACAAGAGGGGCCGGTCGACTATTGAGCCAGATCCTTTCGCACCATCCTCAGAAGAACCAACATCGCTTCCGCTTGCCCTAGGCAGAATACACAAGCGATTGTCAATTCCCGAAGAGTTGAAGAAACTCCACCTGCAGCATCATCACATGACAACAGATCAATTTCGATTTAGAACCCGAGCACTCCATTTGCCGAAATCAACATTCGATCTATTTGACAAGATCCGAAGTGAGTGTGAAGTTTGCCAAGCGGCAAAACATGCACCATCACGAAGCAAAACAAGTGGACTTCGAGCGGACACCTTTGGTGACATGACATTCATTGATCACTGTCAAGTTCCTCTTGAGAACATCACTGTCCTCAGGAACTATTTTGACCAGTACCACTTGCAGCCCAAATCAGTTGTCGCAGATCAAGCCTTCATGACAGACACATGGGAACATTTCTATCAGTCCCTTGACATCACACCGATATCCTTGGGACCGAATACACCATGGCCAAATCGAGCTGAAGCAGCAGTTCGACTCCTCAAGGCACAACTCAAGATCATGCTAAGTTCCATGAAAGCAGGTATAGCACCTGCAACACTGAAGAAAGTGACACACAGGCAGCTAGTGAAGGCCGCTGCAACTGTCAGGAATCAGACCGTCACCTACGGGGGTGTAACACCATTGGAGCTCGCATTCGGAAGACGACCAGCAGATCTCATCCAACTCGATGTCGCAACACCAACTCAGTTGACGATTGACAGGAATGAAGAAGAGCTGACAGCCATCCAGATCAAGCAGCTGTAAAAGCAAGCTTTCCAAGAAGCACGTCAATCCAAAGAC